AAAGATGACAGAAAACTGAACTCTGTAAAGGAAAATCCTTAATTCTATTGGACTCTCCCTTGTCATTGTGGGTTGCCTTTATCAAGGTCCTTTATTAGTGAAGTGTTTCTTTGGTATTATATGGAGAATCTCATTGTTGCTGTGTTGGGGCCTCATGGTTGGAGAATATGGGCAAAAGTTAAAAAAAAACCAGACACTATGATTAAAGAGCACCATATACATATATTTACAATGCATATGTTTCTGAGCATATACAATTTGGTCACCAAATTTCCATATAGATATGACCATATCATCATGTAGGTCTCCCCTTGCCCTCCACCTTGTGTATATATTGACCAAAACCCACAAAAGTTTTTTTTTTAACCCTTTTCTTCTCTCCTTTAATTTCCTCCAATAGTTTGCTAGTTTTACACGATTGACTCCATGAGATGATTCCAATTTTAGCTTTTCACAATGGATAAAAGAAGTGTGGAGATGCATGTCGTTGCCAATGTAATTGGATACATTTGAATTTTGATTGCACTACTTCTTAATTGAATGAGTTGACAAGCAAAAGTCTCATGAGAAACGTAATTATTTAGACACCAAATCATCATTAAATATCTTCTAATTAAATACGTATCTGACAGTTCATCTTCCCATTCGTTCGGTACAATCGTGACGAGTCTTGAGTTACAACTTACTCAATGTTTCTGAGACTTTTAACACCCCTACTTGTTAAGAACCATAATATCATCGATTAGTAAGATGTTTCTTGCTCCTCCTCTAACCCCATGAACCATTTTTTGTCAAAATTTTGAGACAAATGATAATCAAGTATGGAGGTATTATCATTGGCATTCCCTCTTTCCCTTTCATGTTTATCATTGGCATTCCCTCTTTCCCTTTCATGTTTCTTCTTTGGTTGATGAAACACTTTTTCTTCTTGCTCTTTCTTTTGCCTCTTTTGCTTTAAGAGGGTTTTCATAGTAGCCCTCTTTATTAACTCTCCCTCTCTCTTTTCCTTTCATCCTTCTTTGACAAATCCAATCAAAAGCTCTCCCCTTTTCTCCCACCACCCCCCTCCATATCAAGGAAAGATAGGACTTGACATCTTTAATCCCCATGAATCTCTCTCTCTCTCCCTGTTTTCTCTTTTCTCACTTTCCCCCACAAACCTCCCTTTCCTCTCATATTTTTCTCAGTAACTCACAGTGATGTGTTCTTTCACTAGATCCTTCATCCATTTCAGGAAAGAAGGGAAAACAGCATAGTTCCAAACCATGACCATCAGTTCGAAAGATGCTGCAAAAAATTAACTGAGCTTTTTTTGTCTGGTGATCTCTGTACATTTTTTCCATCGTTTCTGTTGCTGCTGCTGACTGTTGTATCATATAACATAACATAACATAACATAACCTTGGCATGAAAAGATAGTTCAAGGGTGTTCTCCGAGGTGATGTTTAGTTGGCTGGCTGGCTGTGGCTGGACAGCAAGATCGTGTTTGGATTTTGTGCCTCGTAGTACCAAAATATTGGGGATCTGAGTCCACCTCTGGTTGTTTCATGGGCTCAGATCACTAAAACTGTCAGCTCGTGGGCTCAAGGTAAAGTAAAGCAGGCTTCATAAAACTTTGAGGCCCATTATCTATTCTGTTTGCGAACCGTGTATTACCCACCTAACAATGATGAAAACCATATTAATGGTAATAATATATTTTGGAGTTTGGAAATTCAGTAATGAGATTTGAAAGGGCTGATGATCTGGTTACAGTTCTCTCTTTACATTTTTCCCGCTCGATTGCTAGTTACAAGTATGGATTTTACCCATAGATGAGCTGCCTTTCTTGATTGAAACGCCCAGCATTACATCCAATGATCCAGAGGAAGCTTCAATCTTTTACTATCAGTGATGTACAACAGTTTTTAGCTTGGTGAAGTTGCTACAAGCTCATATCTTCAGGTAAGCTGATCTGAAGAAAGTAAAGGCTGCAGAAAGAGCAAGAGAAAACTCAGTAAGAACACGACAGAATCAAAAGGAAAGATCGAAGCAAGAGCATGAAAGCTCAGTACTTGATTAACGGGTTATTCTGAAGTATGTTTTGACTTTCCCTTCTTACCTTGCAGACATGAAGGCCATGCCGAAGAACACAGCTTTAACAGCTTGCTTCTGCCCAGCATAATCAAAAGCCAACGGCAGCATCTCGTGTAAGGTGAGGAAAGCCATCACTCCGCCAACTGCAGGAGCAAGACCGGTCTTGTTCGTTTACCATGACTATCATATAAGTGAGAGGCAAAACTAAGTAGTAGAACAAACCTGCTCCCAGTAGACCCTCCAGTATTTCAGGATTCAAGCTGCTTGGGAATAGATATGCTGGAAATTCAACAAGAAACAGCAGTCTCAGTGAAATTATTTCAAACAAGGTTGGCCAGCATTATGCTACTTTACTCATGGCAGGTTTACACACCTACAACCACAACACCGAGTGGTTCTGCAAACCCAGAAAGTGTCGCCAATTTGAAAGCTTCCCACTTGCTGAGATTGATACAGAACCATACAAAGTCAATTCAGCATCTGAGATCATTCTAACTGGATTTGATCCTACACTGAGCATATTTTTATTTTGGTTCGACCGCCTATTTAAAGGTCATGGCTTTATGAAGTATTACCTTTGTGTTGCAAAGTAAACAGGAAGTGCAACTGCGACACCCTGTGCAAATGATCAAGTCGATACAGACTTAATTAACTCCACTAATGGGGAGGGCTCCAAAAAACAACGACCAAGGGTGTACTAAGATAAAGATATCATAATACCTCTGGGATATTGTGCAGAGCAATGGCGAATGCTAAATTAAGACCAACACGAAGGCCCTACAAAAGAACTTCAGTTAATTACAAAAATGAATATTTAAGAACTTCAATTTCAGCCATGATGCTGGTATACAGCTTACCTTCAGTGATCCAAGGAACACAGCCATGCCCTCGGGGAGATTGTGCAAGCTTATTCCTGGATCAAAGAACACAACTTTCAGCCAATTTTGTAGAAAACTTGGCAAAATCATACAAACTGCAATGTTTACAATTCACTCGACATCCAGAAGATCTAGAATAGGATGTTAAGCCGTGATTTATTGGTCAAGATCTAATCTTTACAAAATCATACCGATTGCAGTAACAATCCCACTGTAGAAAACCTGACGACGATGCTTTTTCATCATATCCTTTCCCCCTTCGTCGCCATTTTCCTGTGACAAAGCAAAGTGCAAAGCATCAATACACCTTTGAACTAACATTCAAACATGGAATATCCAGCACAATGAAGGATTTCGAAAAAACCTTTTTCCTTTTTCCTTCTGAGGCTGGAGCTATTTGTGGTTCAGGAATGAATGTCACAACTACAGCAAAGAATATAATCCCGGCAAAAAACTGAACAAAAGCAAAGAAGTATCATCATGATAAAGGGATGGAAAACAAATCATGTCCAAGCAGTGCATTAGCATGTGAAGCAAAATGTTGGGAAGGCATCGCTAACCCAAAGATTTCCCTTTAGAAAGCCAATTGAGTTGATGGCATTATGAGCGAGATCAAAGAACGATATGCTCAACATAAGACCTGCAGCAAAACCCTGCAGATTGAATAACGTGATGAAAGATATCATCTGGTTTGCAGAAACTGAATCCAATGTGCACCATAATCTACCAAGGAATTTGAACACCTGAGAATCACCTGTAAAAGGCCAAGCATCTTCAAGCTTGGCGCCCCAGAAAGTATTACAAGGAGAGCACCTGTTCATGATTAAAGTTTCGAGTGAGACTCGCAAGAACGAATCATGAAATAACACAACTGGGCGAGTGGACCACGACATGAACAAATGACTTTTCCCCTTATTCCATGAAGATGGAGTTTGCAATGGGTAATATCATATATCTTATAATAGTTTTGTCAGGTAAACCAACATGTCAATTAGCAAATTACTAAGCTTGCAAGCTATTACTTTCTTTCAAAGCTTCACGGTCCCTACATCATGTCCTTCATCCCCCTGAAGCCTGAAGCTTCACCTGCTATATGGATGACAGACAATAGAAACCTCAAAAGGCCCCCATTCAACACCAAGAGACTATCTCCAATGACAATTCACAGCACGAAAGCAAAGAAACATCCAACAAAACGTGAAATTGGAACAAAAGAGGGTGGAAGCTGCAAACTAACCAAGTGAAGTGCTGAGGCCGCCAACCAGCGAAAGAGCAAGCGCTACAATCACCTGAGAATCCATTTCCCCACCGCAGAAAACAGTAATTGTGGAGCTGATTCAGAATTTTGTGGGTTTTAAACTATGGGAGTTGGGTTCAAACAAAAGAGCAATCTTTACACGTGAAAAAGGGAATCCACCATGAAAACGATATGGAGTTATGATAGACTAGGGAAGAAAGGGATGAATTGAGGAAGCAGACAAACCCAAAAACCTGCCCCACTGCAGAAAAATTCCCTCGCTTCCCTCGCCCTTACTCTACAGTTTTATACCTTCACCTAACCTTTCTCCCTCTCCTTCCTATCGCGGCATGAAACCTCACTGCTCCATGACCAAATTAAAAAGAAACAAAACACCCCTTGGAGTCAATGGTTACTGTTTCTATTTCACCTCCGCCGTCCTCCTCCCGCCGGCTTCTCGGGATTTCTCTTTAATAACAGCAAAAGGGGTTTATCGGAATCCCAGCCCCCTGAGATTCTCTTCCTTCTTCGTTTGTCATCATTTTCAGAGAAGAAGATAAAGAAAATGTATCCAAATGGTAATCCAAACACTTTTGGTACTTGAATGAGAAACATGAGATTCTTAGGGGTCGATATGATATTTTCAGTCACGGTGTGAACCAAAACGCTGCCGTTTCAACTAACAACAAATGGAGAATTCTTGAATGAAGCGCCCACTTGGATTGGTGGTTACGTGTCCTAACGTCTTTCTGGAAACTGGTCCCACCGTCTGACGAACATTCGTTAGCGCGCCTTAATATTCCGTTAGCCGCCGTTAATGGAATAAACCCCGCAAAACCCCCCCGCCTTTAGAAACGATTTTCTTCGCACAACCAAATCGAAATCGCCGCCGCCGCCACTGCCGTCGCAAGATGGCCTCTCGCCCCGTCCTCCTCCGACTGAGATCGCAGCTCCTCCGCTCCACGAAAACTACCGCCGCTTCCGGCTCCTGCACCAGCATCTTCTTCTCCTCCACTCGCCAGATCGCCTCCGCCGCCAGATCGGAGCGGTTGATTCTGTCCCCAATTTCAGATCTCCGCGCGGCGTACGGCGACTCCGCCTCGATCTCAGGTCTACGGCTCTTCTCCACGGCGCGCCGCCACCCGGCGCGTCCGAAGACCGTGGACATCGGAGCCCGAGCTCGCCAGATGCAGACCAGGCGGCTGTGGACCTACGCGATCGCGTTCAGCTGCGTGGCCGGGTTCATCGTCATCGTCCTGAACAATTTCCAGGACCAGATGGTGTTCTACGTGACTCCCACCGACGCGATGGAGCAGAACAAGGCGAATCCGAAGAAGACGAAGTTCAGATTGGGAGGATTGGTACTGGAAGGCAGCGTGGTCCAGCCGGCGTCGTCGCCGGAGATGGAGTTCGTGGTCACTGATTTGATTACGGATATTCTGGTGAGGTATAAAGGGGCTTTGCCGGATTTGTTCAGGGAGGGGCATTCGGTGGTGGTGGAAGGATTCGTACGGCCGATTACGGAGGAGTTGAGGAAGGAAACGGGAGGCAAGAGTGTTTCAGAGAAGGCCAGGGGTATAGATGTTTACTTCTCGGCGACGGAGGTTTTGGCCAAGCACGACGAGAAGTACATGCCTGGGGAGGTTGCTGCTGCGATTGAGAAGAACAAAAAGAAGCTGGAAGAAGATAAAGAAGAAGGAGCAGCAGCAGCAGCACTAGCAGTGGCAGATGAGAAGAAGTGACGAATTGGGTTTGTCTTTCCAAATTCTGATTCATTGACTATAGATTATCCTCGATGGGAGAGCTCCATTAATCAAGCCACATGAGTTGAATTTTTGTTGATGTAGGTTAGATACATAAAAGAGGGAATACTTAATGATTCTTATGGAGCAGCTCCATAGCCATAGTTTACTTCAATTGTTGTCTTGTTACTGCAAGTTGATTTGAGCATTGATACTTCAATTTTGTGATGAGAAATTGACTATGATTCCATTGGAAAACTGTTGTGATTGAATTTAGATAAATAGAAGGAAAGACAATGAATGGATGACTTTGATGTCAATAAAAGTCCACTACTTTGCTCCGGATGTAAATCAAGTTTTCCCATTTCTTTTCTTATGTACTTTCATGAGACTTTTTGTTAGCCAAATTGCTGTTTCTCTGGACGACACAGCTTCTTCGCCAAAGGGTTTCAGCACACCTTCTAGTTCCTCGAACCGTTCACGTCTGAGCAGGCTTGCACAGATCTCTAACAATGATTCTAGTGCTTCAGCTCTTTGGGTGCTCTGGGCATCATCCCATTCAGTCCTGAACTCTTCTCTCTGCATTAAGCTTGCCGAGCTGCTTTGTCGGGATGGAGCATCGCTGGAGTTGGTGTGTGATTCTTGAGTGCTCTCTTTTCTTGTATGTGTTGCAGCTGCTGGAGAAGCTTTGTCTGTCATCCTGTCAGTTGGAGGTGCTGTTATATTCTTAATGCAGTCTTTTGGTTTGGTATCTTCGAATGTTGGCTTGTAGTTCTTCATCAGATCAGAGACCTTCTTGCAGACATATTCAATGTGTTTCTGCTGGAAAGCTTGCTTGCTGTTATTATTACATGGTGGTGGTCTAGCAGCAGCCTTTGGTTTATTACTATTATCCTTGGTGGTGCCATGCTCAGACTTTACTGGGAGAAAGACAGGAGATGGGTTTTGGCATTGAGCAACATATGGCTGCAAGTGCGGGTGTCGCAACAACTCGGCCGCCTAAAATTCGACAAAAGGTTTAAACTTCGAACCGAAACACGAATTTCTGTGACAACTGACGAGGGGGAAAATTAGGGAATTCAGCTGCAGCTGAGGATATGTATTTTACCGTAGGCCGGTGCTCTGGGCTCTTCCTTAGCATAAATTTGATCAGTTGTTTCCTGTTGGATAGAAAGCAACCCTTGATGAGCACATGAGGCAACATTTTATCCAGGGAAGATCAGGAAGGTAATAAAGTTGATGACTGTACTCACAGTGTAGATGAGTATGAAGGTGGTAGTGGAGAAATGGAGCCACGGTTTATCTTGTGAATTAGTCCCGCCATATCCTGTTACAAGTTCATGAAAGCATTTTGAGAGCTGTTGTAGGAGTTCGTCATTAGTTGAGAAACTAGTGCTCAACTTACAGGAGCTCTGAATGGAGGTTGATGTGCTGCTATCTCAAACATACTGCAGCCTAGTGACCAGATATCTGATTTGTAGCCGTAGGGTATATCTGCAAGAAGCTCTGGACACATGTATTTTGGAGTTCCTACCACCTACGAAATAGAAAGCAATAAGCTTTTGCCAAGATGATTCCTGGTCGAGTAAAAGGAGGAGAAAATGTATTCTTATCAAATGCATTACTGTGGAGGCAAGGTCATCTTTGCCAAGCAATTTCGCCAGTCCAAAGTCACCTAAACACGCAGTAAACATTGATGTGATACATTTGCAGACAACTAAATTTGAGGTATGTTCCCTGAATTCTCAAGTTCTCACCTAGTCGGATGTCGTTGCTTTTGGAAAGGAATATGTTGGAGCACTGACACCAGAATTTAACACCACAAACATTATTGCAGAATCATCTTAATTATAATATACAGCCTTTATAGAAGGATTCAGAAGCCTACTTTCAAGTCTCTGTGAAGAACACGATTGGAGTGGAGATAGTCCAATGCTAGCAGAAGTTGAGTCAGCCACTTGCAGAGCATCTACACCATGTTGAATGGAAAGAGATTGAGTTAATCGATCCAAAGGAAAAAGCATAAGACATCCCAGTGGAGGTATATATTTTCCTTGGCTTCTTACCTCTTCACTGAAGTAAGTGCCTCTGGCTCTCCTTATCATCTGATCCCTGAGGAAAACTCAAATGTAGAAACGAATTACTCCTCAGCCTTACATTTCATAGGACAATCAATCTTAATAGTTCAGTCCAAACTTACATGTCTCCACCCTCACAGTAATTTGTCACAATACACACGCATTCCTGCAGACTCACGACAACCAAAATTGTGGCGATTAACATCTGCAGAGCTTTGTATTTTTGCAGAAACAGAAAGCGGGTAGGAGCAATCATTTTATATCTTACCTTCCCGACCCAGGAGTCCTTGTACTCGACAATGTACGGGTGGTTCAGCTCGGCAATCAAGTTCATCTCCTGGACCGCCGTCTGCTTGAACCTCTCAGTCTGTCTCGCCAGCTTGATCTTCTTCATCACGTACCTCCTGTTTTCCGGCTTGTTAACGACGAGGAACGCTGCTCCAAATCTCCCCCTCCCTATCTGCTCCGCCACGTCATACTCGTCTTCTTTGCTCCTTCCCTCCATCTCTCCCTCCCAGGTATGCTGTTTGTGCTTGTTCAGATTCCTACCGCCATTTTTGGTGGGATGAGGATACTAATATATACAAACAACAAATGCTTTTGTCAGGAGGGCAGGGGGGAAAGAAAAGTGTGATGGAGTAAATGTTCTGTGTCTGTGGATGTGACAAATAGACACAGAAACGTGAATCATGCTGTATTGAATTCTTACCCCAAATGCCCAATATTACCCGGAAGAAGGGATTCCTATTAGAGTCTGCCAGTCCTCAAGCAAAATGTGAAGCTTTCAATTGGAGCAGAGCCCCAGAGACCAAAGAATGGTGTGAAGTTATGGAGAGGAAGGAAGAGATGCAGAATTGAGGCAGAAGCAATGGAAAAGGAAGGAGGGAAATGAAGTTTTGCAGGTGACAGATATGCCAACCGTGGGAAAGGGGCATTGCTTGCAGTCTGGGATTCCTCAGGCATCATTACTCCTATTTGGTTGCTATGTCACAATCCTATTTAACTCCCAAGTCATTTCTCACTTTCTTCCTTTTACTCATTTGGCCTCCCCTTTTCTTTTCTCTCTTCCAATGGCTGGATTGTGTAGACAAGAGACTACACGTGTATTTACTTTACTTTAGAGATCAACTTTCTAAACACTTTCCAGTATTATGTAATCCAATTCGAGATGATTTTATCAATCCTTGACTTGCCTATCAAATTTATAGATGATGTGTTTTCTGATTACACTTCGATCGCTAATTTGTATTATCATACCTAATTTGGTTGTCACCACAAGGTATAGGAGGTTTTCTGTACCAAAACTTTGTTTACGTGATTCAGTCAATGAAAAAGATATGAACTTGGAAAATTACAGTTGTTTAGTTTCACTAGTGCTATGTTGTCAAGAATCATAGGGTTGTTACTTGTAGAACAAAGACAAAATAGAAGCCATTTAACATTTTGAAACCCAAAAACATGGTTATTTTGCAATTCTAACATGAACCATTATGGAACATACAAAGGAACACAGATGTTAAAAGCACCATGGTAGCTAAGAAAAAGGTTTTTGCTGATTTTTATTCACCTACTGACTTCTGTTGCTACAACAACAATAGTTGAAAAATGAAAAATACAACTAAACATGCGTTCGCTGTCTCTTCTTCCAAAAGTGGAAAACGAAACGCAAAATCCACACGATTTCAATCTTGAAATTGTGGGCCAAGTTTGAGGCCCATTTAATTGCTGGCCTCAATTATTTTTTCCTTCGACTGCAAGTGTTTTACTCGGCCCAGCCAAACTCACCTAGCCCAGTACAAAAAAAAAGCTCGTCGGAGAACGGTACCGGTGATTACCCTTTTTAAGTTCGACGGCGATGGCAAAAATGGGGAAGTGGACAGTGGTGGGAGGGAAGAAGAAACGGTACACGCGCCACCACTAGCGACCAGACACGTCCCACAGCCTTAACTCAGCAAATATCGTTCGTTGGCAGATAAATTTTTGCCTTTCTTTTTTCTAAAACGTATCCAAATTATTAAAAAAAAAAAAATTTATCTCCCCAAATCCAAAAAGAAAAGAAAATCGAACAAAAACTACTCAATCGAAGCTTAGAAAAAGAGGGCACAATCGCCTCTCTCTCTTCAGCTCCTCTCTCCCCCTCGGCTCTCCCCCTCTATCCCAGGCGATCTGGTCCATTTGTTCTAGGGTTAGGGTTCTTATCAATCCCTTGTTTCTCGTTCAATTCCGGGGTTTAGTCCCTCAGTCTCAATTCCAATCGGTGCATGTTGATTAGCTCTGTTTTGATTTTACTGAATGATGTTTTGTTTTGGGGGGTTTGCAGGGAGGGGCTTGATTCATGCGCATATAAAAGCCGAGAAATCGGTACGAGAGCAATCAAATTCTCACTCTTCAGCAGGTTTTACTATTGTTTTCCTCCTTTCTGATTACCTTATGATTTGAATTTCGAGTGGTTAGCCTGTATGCAGAGTGATTCTGCGCAATTGGGGGGGATGTTTCTGGGTTTCTTTTGGGGGGCTTGGATGATGAATAAAGTCTGGAACTTTTTGAGGTTTTAGCTCTCTGAGCTACCGGTGGTTAATTGGTTGGGGGTGGAGATGAAAGAAAGTTGCTGTCTTTTTTCTGGTGAAAGTTTTGATCTTTTTCACGTAATTTCCTTCTGTGGTTAAATATTCAAGCTCGGTTAGGTGACCTGTAGTTTGTTTCAATTTAGGAGCTTTTATTTGGTTGAGGATTTTGGTGGGGAAGAATCTGGAATTGACAGTCTGAGCTCCATCTTCACAGAGTAGTGACAGACATTGCAGACTTGTTTTTTCGGTGTTGTGAGGTTTTGATCTGTCGGTTGACCCAACCACTTTGGGGGGTTTGAGGATATGGATGAGAATTGTGACATACAGCTTAACATAATTTGCCTGGTTCAGTGGATTAAGAGTTCTTATCTTACATGACTGTCCAGTATTTAGGAAAGATCAATTTAGAAGATACTTAGAGTTTGATTATACTTTCTTTTTATTCTCTTAGGGTACTTAACCGGTGTCATCAGATCCTTTTATATTGCTTATATTGATTATAAGCAAGGTGTATGGATATATATCCAAGCTCCAATTGTCATTTAGCTTCTGATTCTATTATATGTGAATATCAGATGCTTGTGCAGTGTAGTTGTACATCACTAAGACTAGCCGATGGCTTTAACGTGTCCCGCATTTCCACTAGCCTTTGTTCATTTTCTTGTAGTACTTTGTGTATGATCCGAGTCAAGTCTTGTATACCTCAATCAGTCATCTGAATATATCTAACATGGTCATTGGATATTTCAGAAGTGAAAATGGACCATGACGAGACAGACTGCCAAGCTCCTCCAGACCATCCTATATTGTGTGTCAACAACTGCGGCTTTTTCGGGAGCGCTGCAACAATGAACATGTGCTCGAAGTGCCACAAGGACATCCTGCTAAAAGAGGAGCAATCCAAGCTTGCTGCATCATCAGCAGCAAGTATCATGAACGGAACATCCATCACCACCCTTGGAAAGGAACCTGTTGTTGCTCTTGCTCCTGCCCCGATCATCAATGTACAAGTCAGTTTGGAAGAGCCAACACCAATCTTGGTGCAGCGATCTTCTGCTCCAGGTGTGGCAGAGAGCAACGAAGAGAAACCGAAGGAGGTGGGGCCTAACAGGTGCAACACCTGCAACAAACGGGTTGGTTTGACCGGATTCAAATGTCGATGTGGGCACGTGTTCTGCGCGAATCATCGCTACTCCGACAAACATGGTTGTGCCTTTGACTACCGCACTGCTGCACGTGAAGCTATTGCGAAGGCTAATCCCCTTGTGAAGGCGGAGAAGCTCGATAAGATCTAGAGATGGTCATGGGGATAATGGATGTGCTTGTTTTTTCATCTACTCGGGATTTCATTGCCAACTATCCTATGAAAGGTGTCCCGGTTTAGGAATCACGGAGAGGGCGAAGGGAAAGAGGAAGAGAGCGGGGAGGGCATCTATGGCAGTATGGAAAGGACTTTACTATGATGTTGTGATATTGGCGAGGATTTATATGTTGGCTCTGAGTGTGTGTTGAGTGTTGAAGTTAGTCACTTCTGGGTTTGTGATGTCTCACCATGTTTCATATGGCATTTTACCGTGGTAGTACGTGGTCTAAGGAAAAAAAAAAATCAGATGTCCAGTTTCTCTTGTAGTGGATATGAAAGACTCCTTTATGATTTATGGCCGTTTATCGTCTTAAACTCTGTAATTCCATGGCTCTTTGCGACTACGACCGACTCCAAATCCTTCTCCCATTGTCATCTGTCATGTATCAACTCGACATCGAATCATTGACTGCCCTTAGTTGCTCAGTATGGATGACAATGGTTTATTCTATACAGGAGTCTGTTTCGACCGTATGTAAGTAATACCATCAGTTAGAAGTTAAAGCGATTCTTGGATCAAGTTCGAATTGAAATAGCATTGTATCATATTCGTCTTGAATCAACCTATGAATCAAGTTCGCTTCCGAATGGAACTGGATCATTCTCCACTCTAATGCTAGGCCAGTTAAAGCGATTCTTGGATCAAGTTTGGATTGAAAGGCATTGTATCAGATGCATCTTCAATCTACCTTTGAATCAAGTTCGATTCTGGACTTAACTGGATCATTCTCCACTCTGATGCTATCCAACATGAGAACATTTATGGAATACGTAGAGGAAATGAGGGATGAAGCATAGCCTATGGCGCAATCATGTTCATGGTGGGCATCTCTCTGTCAACTCGGTACAATATGACAGCTCATGCCAACCAACTTGTGAAGTAGATTGGTCATTGTGAATAGTAAATGCCTAAATGGCAGGCAGGCTTCAGAGTTTGAGGGGCCTCCAAACGAACCTGCCAGATCTTGTTTCAACTAGCAAATCAACTGTTACTTCGTCGTGCTGGTTCAACCACATACCGATGAACAAGCTGATACGATTCTATCATTCTCGAGAAGAAAGTAAAATACATCGTAATTGAACTGAACATGAACAACAATTTCCTGCAGTTCCCAGCCCAAAGTAATCTATGTTAGTTTTGCTTGCATTGTGTTAAATCACACTGTCACTCCCCTCTAGTCAAAACCCTCTAATCACCAACATCTTTACAAACTGATTCTAGGACTTCAATAACTCAAGGCATTACAATGATACTCCCGAGGCGGGTTCAGATTCAAGATACTTACAGATCCTCTCCATAACCTCCCTCCCCTTCACGCTGTTCTTCATGAACCTCTCCGCGCACTTCTGCTCCAACTTCTCGGCCATCGATGCCAGAGCAGAGAACGGCTTGATACGAATGCTCGTCTGCTGCTTGCAAACCGTCCACCCACTGGGGTTATCCGGGTGAGGCTCGTACCTTATGCGCTCTTCCACCTCGATGAATTTCTCGAGGCTAATGTTACGAGTCGTGAGCTGCATTGACTTGTTCCGTCCATCCACGACCGTCGACTCCACGCAGTTGCAGATGTCCTGCCCCACGATCTTGCGTATGAACCAGGGCCCCGGTGCGTGGATGATCAGTGCACGAGTAGTGTAGAGCTTCCCGGTTTGAGGGTCGAGCTTCTGGTTCAGCGTGTCCACAGCGAGGACGTGGTTTAATGTTCGCTTGTTCTCCGGGTCGGAGTACTTTCGCCATGATGCTGATGTTACCCTCTCCCATGGATGCTTGTAGACATGCTCCTGTGTGTATGCTTTTACCATCTTTTAACTTCTTCTCTTCCTCCCCTGTAGGATCCAAAAATAGTATTAAACAAAGGGAAAAGAAATCCACCAATTCCCAATTTGAGGGAAAAACGAAATGAATCCCTAAATTGTTCAATCGACAGAACCCTTATTTCCAATTGTAATCCGGATTCCTGAGCTAGATTTTAACCAGTAATTCATAGACACCTGTTGTTCATCATCGAGCTGGGGGAGAACTACTAGGGACCAATTTCAATTATCACTCCGGGATATACTTAGCAACTAATTAATTACTCGTTCACTAGCAGATGCGAAGAGTTAACCGGCGAGCTGCGGTTTCCAGGTAAGATCCGATCAATTACAGAAATGGAACAGCGAGAGAAGGTAGCGACGAAGGGATAGGCTAACCTTTTGAGTGACAGAGCGATGCTGCTTCGGCTTCGGCAGGTGGGTGTCGTCGGCGTAGAGAAGAATTGAGTTCCGGAGTTTGGAGAAGAAGTCAGCCGGCGAGACGGTGGAGAGAGAAAATGAGAAAAGCACGGTCGGACTGGTTGAATTGAATGAATGATGGTGGCGACTGACGGTGGTGGTTTCGGTGGAGGATGTTTGACGAAGCTTTTTTGGGCGCAGCCGCCATAATTGGGCGGGCTGAGAATTTCGTGGTAAAAAAGCCTACTGGAGTGCAGTTTTAAGGCTAAAAGCCCAATACTATAGACCGACCACGGACAACAAGAGACCCAACGGCCCAAGGTGTAAAGTAACAAGTTGGTCGGGTAGGTAACAAGTTGGCTCAATTAGTGACCCGAAAAGTCTTGTTTTTGTCACCTTGCATGTTGTAGAGGTTTGACTTTCTGTCTTGGTTATTTAGCGTTGATGTGACTTGAATCGGACTATCAGCCGCTACGACTGGTAGTCGGGGGTCTTTCATACTCCTCTGTAATCTGTAATCTCCTAGATATAGTGAAATTGGCTCTCTCTCGCCCGTGGACGTAGCTAACACACATCGTGTTAGTGAACCACGTACATCGTGTGTCCTGTTTTTGATTCTCGCTTTCGTATTCTTGCTTTGTCGATTCCGGCGATTTCCCGATCCGTAGCAGCGCGTTTATAACATTTAGTTTATAGGTTGTATTTTTGTTTGGATGAGATTTGTAATGTTTTCTCTTCGGGAGAGAGATCTAATGACAAAAAAAAAATTGTATGGGCTAGAGAGCTGATGTACTCCTTCTAACATATGATTTTTTGGAAAAGAAACGCTACGATATAAACTTCAAATAAGTGATTAGGTTTAAGGATTCGTCTTGCAATTATCTAAACTCAAATTGATCAAGTCAAAACAACTTTTTTATGTCGAGTAAGTGTTCCTTTTTATAGAAACCTATCAACATAGAATGGTTTAAGAACGAGGTGAGTCGCGACAAATGTGGTAACTATAATGATAGTTAATCTTGTGATGAAAGGGTTGAAGCGGGGAACTAACCAAGAGTTAAGGTATCCATATATGTGGGTGAAGTAAGATCCGAAGGTTAAGGTTTAACGAGGCTTTGGAAGAATAAACAAAAAACTAGGGGGTAATTAAATTAATCTTGTTCTATGTGGAAAAATATCTTTTTACTACCCCCAATTAATCTGCAAAATAATAATATTTTTTGCTTAGAACAAGATAGTGCCATGCACATGCCCTCTTTCACTTATAAACAACTAGTCTTTTTACGTACGTGCTTTTGGATTCTTCTCCTTCTTCTTGATCTTCTTTTGGTCAATAGTTTAATTTGTAGATTAATATTCAATTAATATATGTATATCGAAGTTGAGAAGTTACCATTAGTTACGTTCCATTGTCGACCATATATCATATTAAATTTTTTACCACCATCAATTTGTAAATTTTCCCCATGTTATATATACTACTAATAATGTAAAGCAAGTCACGAAATATTAAGTAGAATTAACACAAGGTTAAGGATAAGAACAACATTAGTTACAATCCAATCACAGAGTAACCTATTGAAAATTCACTCTGATCTTATATGAAGCATGGTGGGACTCATAACGCACTGGTAACTGTATCCAAATTGAACTCTCATATCGTGTAGAATATGGCGAAGGAAGAAACATACAAGGACCTTTTTTTCATTGCACAAGTTATTGGGGTTAATTGCATGGTTGGTCACTGAAATTACAAAAAACGTTCATGTTTGATCACTGAAAATATTTAAATCCAATCCCGGTCACTCAAATTAGTTAAATGGTTCAAGTTTGGTCACTCTCCGTTACCTTCCGTCAGTTTCTGTTAACACCGTCAGTTATTTGCTGACGTGGCTAACAGACTCACCTAGTCACCTATTTTTGACAAAATAAAATAAAATCCAATCCTGCCACATCATAAAAAACCTGCCACATCATAACAACCTAACCAATGTGACCCAACCCGTTAAATCATGATCGAACCTACCCCAAATTAAAACCCAAGACAAGATTAACCAATCTGCAAAATCCAAAAACTAAGATTAACCCAAGATTTCCCTCTTCTCCTCCCTCTCCTATTCCTCTTCCTTTAACAGAAACTCCACGCCGTCGCTACCACCACTTCCCCTCTTATCCTCCACCATCATCAATTCTCTCACTTCCACCTCCTCCTCCAACTCCCTTTTCCAAATCTCACTTCCCGCTACACAGTCCACGGCCAATCGCTTGTGTCACTGCCAACCGAGACGGCAACAACGACGACATCGATCAGTTACGGAAGGATTCACAAAACCCTAGCTCTGACGATGGTAACAAGAAAAGCAAGAACAACGGTGGCAGCGACGACGATTTGGGGAAGAGGGAGGTAACGGACGGCGATCCCCTTTCTTATCCAACGTCAACTGGGTAAGTCTGCTGCTGGACCTAGATCTCGACCGACTGCGGTTGGAGGTTGAGGTACGGTCGCTGCCTCCAACCCTTCCTTCGTCAATAGTGTCGCCGCCTCAATCCTCTCCATCTTCCCCGTCCTTGGGCCGCCTAGCAACAGTGGAGTCGCCGGTGGAAACCGGAATAGCTAGCGGCGGCGAGGGCGACGATGTTGGACTTGGAGGAGGAACTAGCGGCGGTGAGTGCGAGCTTGGAAATGGGTTTGTGCTTGAGATTATTCTTGAAGGGAAAAACTGTACATAGTGATTCAGCGGCTGGCGGCGGCGATTTCTAATTGAACTTTGTAGGGTTTTTGTTTTGCTTGGGTCAAATAAAGGAAGAAGGAAGGGTTGGGTCACGGGTTGGGGGTGGGTAACTAATGTGGCTGGTTTCGCTGACTGTACGGGTTGGGTTTTATTTTTTTATAATTTAAATTTGGTGAATCAGCACTTCTGTTAGCCACGTCAGCAAATAACTGACGGTGTTAACAGAAACTGACGGAAGGTAACGGAGAGTGACCAAACTTGAACCATTTAACTAATTTGAGTGACTGGGATTGTATTTAAATATTTCCAGTGACCAAACATAAACGTTTTTTGTAATCTCAGTGACCAACCATGCAATTAACCCCAAGTTATTGAGGATACAATTTGATGTCGATCACAACGACTATAACTAACATATCTAACATTCCAGCCCTAGCTAGGCAGTTTTCACTCCAGTTGTCTTTACACGTTAGAAATGACTAGCTAGTGAAGCTGAAAAATAAAACTTATTGAAACAAATATTTCAATACTCGACTTGTCTGAGTACTGGGTTACTCCCGACCATTTGAAATATGAATATACGATCCGATTTACTTTTGAGTTTAAATATACATTTAAATGCATATTGTAAGTGGTTTTTGTTAGTGAGTGGTATAAGATCTATTATTGAACTCTCACTGGTTCTTAACGGTTTATGCATGCTTACTATTTTTTAACATGAAAGTTTATGCTTACACTACAAAAAAGAAGATATTTGGGGACCAGTCTTGGGAACAACGGTCTAATGTTGTCTCGGGAAATAGCTTTCTAAGTTTTATTAGGGACGAACAAAGTAACTTGTCTCAAATATGATTTTATTAATTTACTTAATTAGTTTAGTCGTCTCCAAAATACTCCAGCGGAAATATTAATTGGCGGTGAAATTTTTTCCACTGGGGATTTTTTTTTCTACTGGCGGATTATGGGAGATTTTTTTTTCCCCAAAAAAATTCTACTGTAGTACTTTAACCTTTTCCTACTCAATCTTGGAGTGAGATTTCTATTTAATCCGGGAACGTGTAACGGATGGTTGTTGACAATCTTTTTATTTTTGAATTAGTATTTTCATTGGTAAGTTTATCATGTACAAAGTACTTATAGCAATTTTATTTCCTATCTAAACCAATGGTATGTTTAATAGTTTATATTAATTTAATTCATTAAATATGAAGATTAAATGTATTATATGAGTTTTATATGTATTTAGTACGAGATTAATTAATTAGATGAAAAATAAAATGATTTCAAAATAGTATGAAAATGGAGAGTTTTAACTGCATATTAAACACTATTTGTATATTTATTTTCCAATTCTCATTAACCCTCAGCCTCTTTCTCGGCGGGCCTTCTAGGCAAAAAATTTTAAATTTCAGCTACCCTTACCCTTTCGATTTTCCAAAAGTTTTCGGCGGCTTTTTTTTGTGGCTTTGGAGGCGAAAATATAATTTTATATTGATTTCCTTCTTTAGATAAACCCAAAATATTTATGCAATCCCTACAAATTCTTTTGTTCATTGATCCCTTCAAACTCAAAAGCAGTCGTCGGCTGACCTCCAGAGGGTAGAAAAGCTGTCCAACGCTGATTTCTTCATTAGATCTATTTGTAAGTTATCTCTCTCAATTAGACATCCTGTGATTCTTCTCAGCTCGATAGGTCCAGTTGTTCTAGTTCCTGCTTTGATGTTATTCCTTCCCCTTCTCTGCTAATATTTTATTTTTCAGAGACCATGTGTTATTGCTTTCATATAGTTCATGTTGTCTGACAAATGATATGTGCGAGTGGCAGAGAATTCAGATTATATAGTTATTGCTCTAATT